GGTTGTCAAAGTCAACCGGCATCAAAGAAATGCGCTAGAAAATGAAATTTCCAAAGGGAACTTTCCTTACAACTTAATACTTGCGACTGCATCACGCAGTTGCTTTCATCCTAGAGTGTTCTAGAAGCTAAAAAGAGACTTTAGCTTCAGTTGTGTTTCTTTGATTTTGCCTGTTGAAGTCTACTTCTTTACGGGTCTATCACATTTCTAATCCTTGTTTTTTTACCTGAGAAGTGCTACTCGATTGCTGCTTTGCTTGATTACACTCAAGTGTATCTGAGGCTTAATTGTTAGGTTGGTGGATATTTAACATGACACTGAACAGTCTCAGACGCCCTCAAACTACACTTAGGGCAGTAGCATCCCCTAATGCTAATCATCTGTCTATATCTCTCGTCCTTAAAGGCTGCTTCTGTGGCTCGAGCGGATCTTCATTTGCGACTTTTTTCTAATTACTTTCGGTAACCGTTGCACTTGACGTAGGCAGTTTAGTGCAATAGATTTTTCCTTCTTTCCTTTTTTCTATCGAATCAAGTGTATTCTGTTTGTTGTCTTGCTTGTAGTTACGTTGGCGCGCCTTGTGTGCATACAAAATAAATATATAAATAAACATCACATCGTAGAAGCCACACACGCTTTGTTGTTCAAAGATTTTCTGCGTGTGATCTCAGTTGCTTTCAAGCAGGTTAATACTCCTCGCAAGCCAATGCTAAGTACGCCTTTCACATTTTCGTTCACGAACAACTCCTCCAATGCATCCACTAGTACTACTAACAGTTTTATTGAAAAACACTAAAGAAAAGAGTGTGTTTATAAGACGAAAAATATCAAGATTTGAAACGCGTAATAACTTTTTTCAATTTCATATGTGTTGCTCATCATCCATTCCGCTTGTACAAGACTATGTTCACAATCTCATTGAAGAAGGATACGGTGAAACCTAAAATTCACCACCTCAGCAAAATTTTAGGAGGTACTGAAAAAGAAAACTTACAAACTACAGCGGTTACCAAGATCAATATCAGAGGCACATAGAGGCCTCGCACTTCTGCTTCAGGCAGTGGTTCAACTTTCTCATCATGGCGACGAAGATGTAGCTTACGAGCATCCCTCTAAACAAATTTCATGAAAAGTTGATACTTCTGAATTTCTTCGCGTAAAGGAAGCCGACCAACCCTAGCAGTACATGGCTCATATTCGTGAGTTCTCTTTTCGCACATTTCCCGATATGGCTTGAAAGGAGCCTTCATAGCGTCGCTACCACATGGACATGGATGAAAACATGGAATATATTTGACGTAAAACTGGAAAAGAGAGCTTACCATGGTTTTGTTCTTGGAGAAATTACCTTTTTCTTGTCCATCCATGAAAAACAACCGGGTCCTTCTTCAAACATGCTTTGGTGGGCTTCTTTTAACATAAGCTCGACTTCTCCCGCCCCGTCAGAGACCTTGCTCTCATCAAACTCTATCAGTCGAGCCAAATCCAAGCAAATTGCACTGGAATCAGGAATGCAGGGAGAGAGAAGTAAGGGTGGAGAATAGGAGAGAATATTTGAATTGATGAGAATTTGGAAATTATACATGCTTTCACTCCAAACTTCGTCCAGGAGTTTTTTATGCTCAAAGCTTCAAAGGTGAAGCACCGAAAATGTGAGGGAGGCGAAAGCACGAAGAAATGATTTTAACTCTTCCTTTTTTTCTCAAAACTCGTGTAGACTGTAGTGTCCTTATAGTGTGAGTTTGACAATCTAGATGTTTTATTTCGTTCTTATTTTAATTATATTTATGTCCCCTTTGTGAAAATCAGTCCTTTCTCCCAGCTACGATTTTACTGTGAGGATATGTTCGAAGATGGAAATCTTCAAACTTTATTAGATTACCTATGCAATAACCGTCCGCCACCATCCAGGAAACGGTTTACTAACATCTTCTCATCAATAGTTACGCGTTTGCTGAGCTGCTCATAATAAAATAACTGCACCCTCAACTCAGGATCTATCTGGAAGAACAAAATAAAGCGCATGAATGCTTTCTTTCTTAATAGATCACGTTCTCTAGTTCTGTCTTATCTTTCCCGTGCTTTTTGCTTTTTCGACGATGCTCCAAGTTGTGGTTGTACAGGGCTGACATAGCCTAAAACTCAATAATCTGATTGCTTGTAGTGTTTTTGTTTAGTTTCGACTGCCGAGCCGATAAGTCTTAAAATAAACTTTAGATTTTTTTTTACTTGTCACGGATTAGTTCATAGAATCGTTGATCCTCTTCCTGACTCGCATTGTTACATTATGCTATTATGTCATAAAGATTTTTGAGATGGAAGAAAAAATTTTGTGAGAGGCACAACAGTAGTGTAAATGGGCGTGACATGGGCGGTGTGTGGCGACTCGGTGGGCTCCAAGCACCTATATTTTACGCCGAGACCCAATGCGCTCGCCCGCTTAATACGTACGACACAACCTAGCCTACTCGTACTCCTAGCGCATAAGAGAAACATTAATAAATTACTCAAAGTTTATCCTTATGACACAAAGATAAACAAACAAATACTAAACAAAACGACTACTAAACTACTAAAGAAGTAAAACCTCTAACACGGGACAGGGTGCCCCACCCCGTGCAACAGAGTGCTCCCGAGGTTTCACCAAT